AAGTTGCTTTTGTGTTGAGTGAATTAAGTCTGCTAGTGTGGCTTATGTAGTGAACCATTGTATCCTTGGGTTCTGCATCCACAGATTCAAGGAGCCAGGTTGAATCAGACCCTGGATTTGATTCCCAATATCACAGAAATGAAATAGTGGCGAGGGAGGGAGGTAAGGGGGGAGAAACTCGTGAGGATACAGCCTGGGTCTCCCTGTCGGATATTAAGTTCTCTTGTTCCCCTGTCCCACACCCCGTAGCTTCCATCTCCTGTCTGTCTGCTTACCATGACCTTAGAGACCATCTGTTGCCTCTTCCCTTTACTTAGCTGTTGGGCCTGCCTTTCTGAAGCAGGTCATGGGACCCTCTGTTCTGAGTTTCACCCCGGCGCTTTTCAGCTTGTACAGTGAAATGCATCTCTCACCGATACTTGAAACCTGTGTGGTTCCACCTCCTGGGGGGGCTGCTCCCCACTCTCCTGCGTTCTCTTCGGAGAAGCACCGGGTCATGGACTGATGGGCTTCACTTAGCATTTCTGACCTTTCATGCACCATTCACAGGGTGTGAAGTGTCGTTCATTCATCCCTGCCTGTCTGTTTCTGCCAAATGTCATTCATCTTTCAGTACTTCTTTTCTTCAGCTTCCTCTGATCCTCTCTCTCCGCCCACAGAATCACACACTAATTCCAAGCTAGAATTCATATTTCCATGCCATGAATATCACAACACACTTTCTGCTTGTAGCTTAAAAAGGTTATCAAAGCCTATCTCGTCCTGTTATCTGAAGCAAAGTTCTCAATGGTATAACCGAAGGAACCTTTTTTTTTTTTTTTTTTTTTTTTTTAATTTCCAGAGCTGAGGACCTAACCCAGGGCCTTGCGCTTGCTAGGCAAGCGCTCTACCACTGAGCTAAATCCCCAACCCCAAGAACCTTGCTTTTTTATTTTTAACTTCTCTTCATTCTGCGGTTTCGATGTTTATATAAATAACTACACATTTGACTTACTCCTGGGTGGATCATGTAATAGTATTTAATGGCAAATAAGAAAACTCTGCCGGAAGTGGTGGCATTCGCCTTTAATCCCAGCTCTCGGGAGGCAGAGGTGGGCGGAACTCTTGTGGGCGGATCTCTGTGAGTTTGAGGCCAGCCTGGTCTACAAAGTCAGTTCTACCCTGTCTGGGGGGGGGGGGGAGAGGAAAACTCTGACGTGTTATTTCAGCTGGTGACTTTTAACGTCTGTGATACATAGTTGCATTAATTACATTAGCTACATTGCAGCAAAGCCTACTTGTTACATAACGGGCGACAGGAATCTGTGTTTTTCATCTCTGGGAAGTTACCCCCCAGCACAACATATTTCCATAGAAGTTACTGGTTTATTGTATTAGTGTGGAAGCCCTTGGGGTATTTTGAATGATCAGAGGTAGGAAGAGCCAGGATTTAGGTTTCTTATCAAAACACGGCTGTGGTGAAAAAAAAAAGCTGCATGGTGGTCTTGTCACGAGTTTCCAGTTGGTGATGGCAGCAGACAGCGCAGCATAGCCAAGTAAGGTCTTGTAGAATGTCTAGGGGGACGCAAGACAGGGTGTTTAAATGGAGACCGATGTGCTCCTTTGGAAGCAAAGCGAGCATTGAGCTAAAACCGTGGCTGCACATTTAAAGACAGCAATCAGGGGTCAACTGTGAAATGAACTGGTCTTGTAGGTTACTCGGTAAAGCACTGTCCTGATGTCTGCTGTGGCAGTCTTTATCGTTTTAACCATTTTATGAAACTCCCCTTTGTTATTTAGCGGAGTTGTGGATCCCGCTTTCTCCAGGCTCCTTGTCTTCTGTACGTTTGCCTGGTAGCTTCGTGATGCAGTCTAGTCTTTGACGGAGCTCGTCCCCGTCTCCGATGGGCTTGGATGGGAAACAGAAGAGTGAGTGGAGCATGTACCAGACAAGAACATGAGCTCTGGTGGGCAGAATGCAGGCTGTGGGAGGCTTAGTCACGGGGCTGAGAGGGCCGCTGCTGATTCCTGGCTTCCTGAGTGAGCCACTCGGAAGAGTCATTGCCAAGTCACCAAACTCCTCAATGGGATCTTCCAGAGACTCCTGCTTGAGTGTTGGTTGGTGTGGGAGATTTTGTTCAAATCAGCTTTTCAACCTTTAGAACTTGCAGTTAATGAATGTCGGGGGGG